GTCCTTTAATTGGAAAAAACTCCCTACGCACCTCGCGGTGCCGGAAAAAGGAGGTGTGACACAAGGATCGAGGTTGGATGAGCCGGTTCATCCGGGTGAGGACTATCGATATTATTCCCGAGGAGTTCCTGTCGTTCCCCGAGGAATGGAATTTCGAACGTGAGTGGAATTCTTTTAGTTCTTTTCCATAAACTTTGCATAATTACTCATTTCCCCTCTCTGCAGCAGTTCCATGGATGCCTAATGCAATCCTCGACCTCGAGTACTAGGTTCGCAAACTAGCTGCTACTTCACCATACAACAAACGCAAATGGCGGGACTTGTCGAAGGGCAAGTGGGAAGCGAAACATCACGGTACGTGCCATAATATTTCTTTCCTCATTAAGAATGTCTTTCTTCATGTGACATGATTCCTCTATCGTAGGTATTGGTGAGTTCTTTGAGATGAGGCGTCCCTTCCGGGGAGGAAGTAGGATCTTCGGCTCCAAAGCCAAAGGAGGATAACAAGAGAAAGAGGTCCTCGAAGAGAGAGGACACCCAAAGCCAAGCAGAGCCCGTTCGAAGGCATAGGAGAAGCGTCGTCATCAGTGTGGATGTTGACTCGGCCCACCAGCTCATGGATGATTATGGTGACGAGATGGAGGGTTTGACGCTGGTGACTCGAACCAAGAAATCTTCCGAGGCTATCAAGCCCGAGGAAGGAACGTTAAAAGAAAAGGGGAATGAAGGTCCTACATCATCTGATGCAGCAACTTCTTCTCAGACTTCTAGAAATACTCCAAAAAGAGTGAGCTACGAAGCTCCTCTACCTGAATAGAGAGCCTCGGGTGATCTCCCCGAGGCCATGACAACAGGTCAACCTTCGTCGTTTTTGGCCTTCTCCGAGGATACCATCAGGGATGCTCAGAAAGTGAAGACGTCCGAGCTCGACGGAGTCCCGAGTGAAAACGAACCCTTCCATGGTTATTTTGCCGAGGTCGATGAGGTCGACCCAGCAGATGCAAGCTCAATCTTTGAGGAGGCTCAACGTCTTTGCTTAATTGTAAGTTTTCAGTTGCACTGATATTTCTCCAATGCCATACTTTTCCTCTTTTGTCTAATCGATCATTCCTTTCCTTTGTGTATGCCTTCGACAAATTGAAGACTGAATTGCGCCATTGTGAAGTTGAATTGCATAGGGCTTCAAATGAAAAGAAAACCCTTAGGCTTCTCCTTGACAAAAAGGAGGAAGAACTGAAGCATCTTCGATCGGAGTTGACCAAAGCTCGTGAATACGAGAGTGAATTAGAAAAGCAGGTAACCTCTATTATGAAAAAATATGGTCTACCTCTCCCATCTTCGGAGGCTAATACTTCAATGTCTCAGCCGCAGCAAAAGCTAGATATGATTGGGCAGCTCCGGGGCGAAGTCGACCAAGTCCGAGCCGAGTGCAATGAATGGAAAGTGAAGATGGACGCCCTCATTGTGGCTAAAAATGATGCACTAGCAAAGTTATTAGCCCTCGAGGTTCAACTTCGGAATGCTCAAGGGAGCAACTTGGTTCAAGTTGGCAGAATAGCCAAGCTCGAGGCTAGTCTTGTGAAGGCCAAGGCCGAAGTTGTGGAAGCCAGGGCCGAGGCCAGCGTAATACAAGGCAAGGCCGATAGGACGGTGGCCATCTATTTGAAGGATGCTACCGATGCTCAGATGGAGTTGAGGGAGGCTTCTGATCAAGAGAAAAGAAGCAATGATTATGTCCGGCATCGATCCGAAGGGAGACCCTCAAAGAGATACACGCTAAGGGATTTGATCTTTCCAAGGAGATAAAGCAAGCTAAGCTAGAGGAGGCTGATGCCAAATTTGTCCTTTCCTCCGACGGTGATGATGACGTCGAAGATGATGAAGAGGAGGGGGCTGCTGAAGAAGTTACCCCCGGGGAAGAGGCTGGCCCAAGGGAAGCGACAGGTCCGGGGGAGATTGCCCCTCTGGAGTAGATAGAATTTTTTCTATCTTTTTGTAATTTTTTGCTTTGTAGGACTCCCGTGTAATATCTTTTTGTATATATAAAAAGGAGTTTCCTTGATCGTTTGCCTTCAATTTTTTTTCAATGTTTGTTTAATTTTTGATGCTCTAACATCTGAGTGTTGGATCAAATTTGAGGTAGAGTAGACCCTCAAATTTTGTATTTTGATCAATGATCGATAATAGGTTACCACTTAAGGTTCGATCTTCGAGCTAAGTTTTAGCTCGGGACTTTTGAGTCCGAGCTGGGTAAGGTCTTCGAGCATGGTGTGTTTCGGCCTTAAGCTCTTTATATATTGTCCCTTAAGCTCTTTTAGGTTGGCCCTTAGGCTCTTAGGTGGGGCCAATTCGGCCTCTAAAATGGCTATAAACTTTTCCCTCTTTTCGGCTAAAAGACTTAGTGAAAAGTTTGTATGCCTTAGCATGTGTTTTTTGTACCCGTTTGGGTTTTTTGAAAATTTGATTGATTGGAACCTCATTTGTAATTTGATATGCAACATTTAATCGAATACCTCTTGAGGTTTTTCGAATGCTGATATTATCGAAGCCTTCGCATTATTCGAGTGTTGATTATATCGAAGCCCCTTATAATTTGCTTTTGCCGAGGTATGAAGGCCTTTTAGTTTTATGGCGGAAGTCGGACGTCTCCGAGCCGCATTATTTCGGCTATAGCCTTTTATATGACCGTAGTCTTTTATATGGCCGTAGCCTCTAGTCCCTGAGAGTGATGGCCTTGGCCTTAATATCAGGGAATGCCTCTTTGAGGTCTTGTGAGCTCGAATGTGCCTCTTTTAGGTCTTATAAGTTCAAGTGTGCCTCTTTGAGGTCTTATAAGTTTGAGTGTTCGATGACTCGATGCGTCGATTGTCGATGACAGTCCCCGAGTATTCGGGGTTTTGGCCCTTGGGCCGTTAAATGTGAAAATAGTAGACTTTTTGAGGCATAAAGTATTTTGATATAATAAGAATGCTTCTTCAAATAATTGATACATGCATACATGTTTTGCCGTTAGGAGCTCGACTATTCTACATGGACACGGTTCATTTGACCGTTTGGCCCATTACAACATTCCCCTATCGAGGCCCTCCTTGGCATGAATTTCTTTCTTCGAGAATGCGTCCTCTGAGGGTGATGCCCCCCAGTGTTCGAGGTTGATTAAAAAAGCCTTGAATACTTGTTGAATATTCCTTAGGTAGCATATAGGAGTTGCCTCATTAAAAACTTTTCCGGTAAAACCCACTTGGGATAAAACCCAATCTAAAGGAAAAAGAGTGCAACACATACTTTAAAACCCAAGGTCTTTGAGCTGAAAGGCGCCTCAATGTTTCCATCGAACATATGCAAGGAGTTAGTTTTTAAATACAAATGGAAAAAGGGAGAAGGTCATACCTCAGCAGTAATATCGTTTGAGCAACGATACATTCCAATTGTTTGGTAGTTGCTCGCCTTCCATTGTGCTAAGTTTGTAGGATCCTTTCCCTACGACTCCGAGGACACGGTACGGTCCTTCCCAATTGGGGCCTAGTTTCCCTTTGTTTGGGTCTCGAGTATTGAGAGTGACTTTCCTTAGGACTAAGTCCCCGACTCTGAAATATCGAAGGTTCGTCCTTCTATTGTAATATCTTTCGAGACTTTGTTTTTGCACGACCATTCAAATTAATGCGGCCTCATGCCTTTCATATAGTAGTTCGAGAGAAGTGTTCATAGCTTTGGGATTTGAGTGGCATGCTGAAATTTGATGCTAGGTTCCCCGACTTCGACTGGGATCAATGCTTTGGACCTGTACACCAAAGAAAATAGGGTCTCCCCTGTGCTTGACTTTGACGTTGTTCGGTATGCCCATAACACCTCGGGCAATACTTCTCTCCATTTTCCCTTTGCATCATCTAACCTTTTCTTTAAGTTTCGAATGATGGTTTTGTTTGTGGACTCAGCCTGGCCATTTGCACTTGGGTGGTAAGGCACTAATAGAATCCTTTTGATTTTATGGTCCTCAAGGAATTTTGTTACTTTGCTGCCGATGAACTTTTTCCCATTGTCACATGCTATTTCGAGGGGTATCCCAAACCGATATATGATGTGGTCCCATATAAAGTCAATGACTTCTTTTTCTCTTATCTTCTCGAAAGCCTGCGCTTCAACCCATTTTCAGAAATAGTTAGTCATAAATAAAATAAATTTAGCTTTACCTGGCGCCGTTGGTAGGGGGCCGATGATGTCCATCCCCCATTTCATGAATGTCCACGGGGATAGGACCAAATGGAGTTCTCCATCGAGTTGATGGATCATCGGTGCAAATATTTGGCATTTATCATACTTTCAAACGAATTCCTTAGTGTCCTTTTCTATGCTATCCAATAATACCCCGCTCAGATCGCTTTGCGAACTAGAGAGTCCGCACCAGAATGGTTCCCACAAGTGCCCTCGTGGATTTCTCGTAATACATAATCGGTGTCCCCGGGTCCCAAGCACACTGCCAGTGGCCCATCGAAGGTTCTTCTATACAACGTTCCATTTTCGTCGAGTAAGAATCGAGCTACTTTGGCTCGAAGTGTTCTTGATTCTCTTGGGTCCGCGGGGAGCTTCTTATGCTTCAAGTTGTCGATGTACTTATTCCTCCAATCCCACGTTAAACTTGTTGAATTAATCTTTGCATAGCCTTCTTCGACCACCGACCTCGATAATTGGATGACAATCCCGGGGACAATATCATCTTCTTCAACCGATGACCTCAAGTTTGCAAGTGCATCGGCCTCGCTATTCTATTCTCGAGGTACAGGGTCCAGGGTCCATTCCTTGAAGCGATGCAATGCCACTTGAAGTTTGTCTAAGTACCTCTGCATTCGATCGTCTCGAACCTCGAAGCTCCCGTTTACTTGATTCACTACCAAAAGAGAGTCACACTTTGCCTCGATGACCTCCGCTCCAAGGCCCATGGCTAGTTCGAGACCTCCAATCATGGCCTCATACTCGGCCTCATTGTTAGTCAATTTAGAAGTTTTGATAGGTTGCCTAATGACACTGCCCGTAGGCAGTTTTAAAACGATGCCGAGCCTGGATCCTTTCACATTCGAGGCACCATCAGTGAAGACGGTCCATACCCCCAAAGACATACCTGTTTTTAGCAAGAGTTCCTTTTCTACTTCTGGTACGAGGGAAGGCACGAAATCGGCCACGAAGTCTGCCAAAATTTGAGACTTGATAGCCGTTCGAGGCTGATATTCAATATCATACCCTCCAAGTTCGATGGACCACTTGGCCAATCTGCCCGATGTTGATACCCAATTTTTCCCTATGTATTTCTTTTACATGCAAATACTTTCAAATATCATATACCTACATATATAAGTATGCCCAAGTGTTTTAGTATTTTTCCAATTTTTTAAAAGATTTTTAAATTGATTTATTGCTCAATAATTATTCCCAAAATTATCACTTTGGTGAATAACTTATTTTATTCTCATATTTATACTAAAATATAGGTAGGTTAATTTTCATATATTTTTACAAATTAATTTGGTATTTTAAAAGCTAAATTGCATATAATTGCAATTTTAGCCTGCTTTAAGATTTAATATCATTTAATAATTATGAAACTGGTTCCAATATTTTTTAATTAATATTTATATACTATTAATGGATCCAGTGCTTTTCATTTGCTTTAAAAATCATTTTTCACTCTTTTTATAAAATAAAAAGGGAAAACTGGCTATTTAAATTTTGGCCTCAGTTTGTTTCAATTGTAGCCCTATTACATTTCGATTTTAGCCTAAAATTGACCCAATTTCAAACTCAAATTCGGACCATCCCAATTACCACTCTAACCCGACCCAGCACCTATTCAACCGACCCAGCCCATAACCCTTTTTAATCCCGGCCGTTGATCATTTAGATCAACGGCCACCGTTGCTTCTTACCTTTTTTAATCCAAACGACCCTAAATTCTAACTCATTCTTTCAGAGACGCCGCCTTTGAATCCCTTCTTTCTCTCAACTCACCTCAAACCCTAG